AATTTTTCTTTCAAGGTTTCATATATGTCATCCCATTGCCTTCTTGCCTACATGGTTTCAGCCGAATAATCTGAGCTTAGTCTTATTGTTTCTCCTCTGTGACTTCTTGTTTTTCACGAGCTGCTTTCCGGATTCTTTCTTTGTCTTTGGTTTTGGTGAGTGTGATTATGATATGCCTTGGTGATTTTCTTTTCGGGACTATCCTATATCGGTTTCGTTGAGCTTCTTGGATGGCCAGCTTTTCATCTTTCATAATATTGGGGGAGTTTTCTGTCAGCAGTTCCTCAATGATCCTCTCTGTGTTTTCTGTTTTCTCCCCCTGTTCTGGAATTCCAATCACTCAAATGTTTTTGCTTTTGATTGTGTCCCCGATAACTCTCAGGGTCTCTTCATTTTTCTTTGTTCTTTTTTCTTAATTTTCCTCAAACAGAGTTGTATCCAAGTGTTTGTCTTCAATTCCACTGATCCTGTCTTCCATCATTTCTAATCTGCTCATCACCCCTTCTGTGACACCATCTATTTCTGAAATCTTGTTTATCTTTTGGATTTCTAATTGTTGTTTTTGTATAATTTCTAGTTGGGAATTTATTTTGACATTTTGTTCCTGTATTATTTCCCTGAATTCTTCCATTTTTTTGTCTGTATTTTCCATGAATTTGTCTGCCTTTTCTATGAATTTGTCTTATTTTTTCAGCGTTTTTGTCTGCTTTTTTCTTCAACTCTTGGATAATTCTGAGTATTTGAGATTTGAATTTCCTATCAGGTAATTCTAGTGCCTTTTCTTCTTCTGGAAAGTCATCTGTTGTTTTATTTTGCACGCCTACTGGCACCATCCTGTCCTGTTTTTATAAATGTTTTGATATTGTCTGCTGTCTTCGGGGCCTTCAGCACTTATTTTTCTCATTTATTGATTGTAGATTTGTTTGTTTCATGGTTTTTTATTTTTATTTGGCTATGTCTGAGCAGGCGGTCTGTGTGTTCTTTGTTGTTTGCTCGTCTGTGGGCTCGATACTTTTCGCCTTCTTCTCCAATTAGCAGGGTCAGTCGCTCAGATATGGTAGAGCAGGGCAGGTCTAGCTGAAGAGGAGTTGATGGGAAGGGTTGTTTGTTGCACTTGCTGCAGCCACCAGGGCGTTTCAGTAATCAGTGCAGGGCAGGTTCCAGCAGGCCATGCCTGTGCTGCTTTGTGGTATGATGTTAAGCACACGGTGCAGGTAGGCAGGATGTAGGGGGGAGATTGTGATGTGTGGAGCTAAGATGGATATGGTGAGAGGAGAGAGGAACAGGAGCCAAAAACATACAAATAAACAAAAAAGAGTGGTAGGGAAGTTTGCCGTTTAAGTGGAGAGATGCGAGACTATGAAATGTAGAAAAACAAAAAAGGGAAGAAGAAAAAAAAGTCAAGAAAAGAATAAATAAATAAATATTAGAATGAAAAAAGAACAGCAAATCTCCCAGGGGTCCCACTGGTATGGCTACGAGGTCTGGGGAAGTTGTTCTCAGGTGTAGAAGTATAGCCTGGCTAGAATGCATAGAGGTATTCAGTGCCAGGCACTCAGGGGACAGGAGGGGAAGGAAGGTATAGAGGGACGAGAAACTAAGTAATGAAGAAATACAGAAAGGTAAAAAGAGGGAAAAGAAAACAAAACACATTAAAAAAAAAAAGAACAAGAAAAGTTCCCCAAAGAATAGAAGAAAAAAAAAACACGAATAAAGAAATGCTCTCAGGGATCTCTCTGCGCATCTGCGCAAGCTGAGGGGGTAGGTCCCAAGCTGCATAGCAGTGCCTGGTGAGAATGGGCTCCCAACTTGAGGAAAGGAAAAGGAAACGAAGAAACAATTCAAAACAAACAAACAAACAGACAAAAGCCCCGGTATCCCACCAGCGTGGTAATCCAGAGCGGGAGGAAGTTCCACACTCGAATGGAGCTCCATAGACCCTTAGGAAGAAGCAAAGATGGAGCCCAGAGCCAGGTATTTGAGCAAAAGGATGGGGAGGTGATGAGAGGTAAGGAAGAAAGCAAAAGAAGTGGAATAAAACAACCCCAGCTGCCAACAAATGACACTCAAGGAGCCAGCCAGTACAGGCGGGTGGAATCCAAGCAGCCGCTGCTTCCCGGCCAAAAGACTATCACCATAGTGAGCAGATGAGGCTGAGTGGGGGTGAAGAAAGGTGGGGGGTAGAAAAGCATATATCGCAAATTACCGGTTGTTCTGTTCCCTGCTTGAAGCTCCGTGAAGCTGCTTTCTCATACCCCCTATTTGCTGGTCTCTGATAGGAGTCCAAGATGGCGGATCCGTGCTGCGTTAGATGATAGGGGACCTCTGCATTAACCGCTTCTCGCTCTTCGTTCTCTTGTCAGTTTTCTCACTCCACTTGGTGCTTGGCTGAGTTCTCTATCTCTTCATTTGATGTTTTAGGGTTTCAGGATTGCTGTTTTCTCTGTTTGGCTTAGTTTTTCGGATTTTTGCTGTGGAGGGACGGCGTGGTGCTTCTGCCTAGAGCGCTATTTTGCCAGAAGTGGAATCTCACATCTTCATCTACAGAATGGGAGTACTAGTTCTTAGCTCATAGGTAGTTCTGAGAATTTAATGAGCTACTCCCTGTGAAGAGCTTGTGCATGCTAACGATTATAGCCACTATCCTAGACATCCTAATCACCTTGGGGTGGTTTAAGGGTTATAATGGAAAGGACTGCAGAGAGGCCCTTATTCTTACAGATCTTTCTCACTTGTGCACATTTACATAGTATACTTAGGCTGATAGTCTAGTCCTGACTTTAAAATAGAAAGACACACATCAGGAAACCTAAATTTAATTATAAATTTAGTTTTTACGGGTAAATAGATAATAGAAAATATGATTGCTAATTTGTAATAGATTTAGAAGGATTGTGATGGATAAATATTCCTTCATTTTGAAAGACTTCTTTTTTAAGGAGCCCTATGTGTTTTATTAGGAGCCCTGGTGATACAGTGGTTAAAGCAATCAACTGCTAACTGAAAGGTTGGTGGTTTGAAACTACCAGTGGGTCTGCAGGAGAAAGATCTGGCAGTGTCTTTCCACAGAAATTTACAGCCTTGGAAACCCTATGGAGTCAGTAAGAGTCAGAATTGACTCAAGGACAGTGAGTTTTTGCATTTTATAAATTGCTGTGGAAAGTTGAAAATTTGAATTTCTTAACGCATTCTATGGACTGCTGAGAAAAATTGAAAATCTTAATTTCCATGATGGTCTTCTTGTGTTTTGCAATAACATGGCATTGGTGTAGATGTATACACCAAGTTTGTGTGGTGACTGAATCAAGTATGTGTCTGAACATGTTTACAAAAATTCCCCTTATTTTTGTGCTGGTTTTCTGTAGAAACCAAAAGCTTTATCATAATGTTCACCTCCCTATTTCACCTGCAGAAAAACAAAGCTAAAGTTATTGAAATGTGTTAAATTATGATAGTAGTATAGCTAAACTGTATGAAGCTGTTATCAACTAGCACATATGCATATTATTACCTTGAGTATTTGGCATTCAGTGGTGTTCTGTGATAACCTTACCTACATGGAGGGCCTTAGATACAACTGTGTCTGAAGTGCCTTTTAATTTTGTCCTTCTTTGTGAGTTTCGATAAAAGATAGTTGCTTTCATTAAAGACTAAAAAATGTTAAAGCAATTTCAGTATTTTCTTAAATTCATGACACCTTTCATCCAATCATTTCAAAATATCTATATGATATTCAGTAGCCCATTTCCATAGGTTACACTTAAGTGAAGTTGGAAGGCGGTATTGCAGTAAATGTAGTACAGAGGACATTTAACTTGGAACTGTGTCATAATTTATAACTGCATGGCTATGCAGATTTTCAAATAAGAGTGATCACCACTTATTTTGTTAAGAGAAAGGTAACTCAAAAAAAATTTTTGTTGTTTCCTTTAATTAGTTATATGCTGTGAATTAAGTTAATCTCCCTTCCCTTTCCCTTGGACCCATTTTAAAAATGGCTTTATTAATAGGAATATATGGTATTTGTGTTCTTACCCCCCCAAAAAAAAAAAAAATCAGGGTGGTCTTAGAAGTCTGTCTTCATTCTGGCATTCCCCTTTATATAACCTTTTTTAGTTTTCTGTTTAAAAACTGACATTCCAATAGCTTTTCTTTGGCCTAGTGCCTAGGTTGCATATTGAGGCAGAGATTAGGAATGTTAAGACGTCCCCCAAAGAAAAATGTTTGTTATGAATGTAGAGCTGATGTGACATTTAGAATTAGAACTTCTTAACTTGTCTAAATGACAGTTAATGATATTTTCCTTTTTCTTTTCTTTTATTATTTTTCAAAAGTAAGAGAAAAAAAAAGAAAGATGTGCCCAGAGGCTGAGGTTGGTTGGTTCACCCAACTGTTAACTGTCAAATGTGCTCTGCGAATGATGGATCTTTTGTCTCTTTTTAGGAGCTAATTTTGTTACACGAAAAATCAGCCGGTCAGTAGCTAAGATTTACCTTGGACAACTGGAGTGCTTCAGTTTGGGAAATCTGGATGCCAAGAGAGATTGGGGCCACGCCAAGGACTATGTTAAGGTAGGGAATTGACTTATTACATTCTTAAAAATACCTGTATTGGTTGGTGTTGTAAATGCCAGTCCTCTGGTGGGAAAGCGTGACCTCTAGGGGGTGGCAGATAAGATTTTGCTAAGGCAGATGTGTTTTAGACTCAAACTACTTTCAATTTAAGGCTTGATGGCTCAGTGTTACTTGAATGAGGAAATCTTTCACAAATATTCTCTTAATCATTTAATATTAAGGTACCCGTCAGTGGTTTGAGGTGACAGGCAGATAGGTGGGAAAACTTCTAAATAATGCGCTTCTGTACTTGCTGGAGCTTTCTTAACCCTCCCCACTTCTTTGCCCAGCATGTGCCTAACTAATTTTGAAAGCAATTTTTTTGTAAAGGTTCTAGTTGTCAGATCTTTAAGCCATACTGCCTAATTTCCATTTATATAATCTAAGGCCACCAAATTTACATTACTCTACTAAATTTCTCTAAGGGTAATATTCTTAATGAAACATTTTGTTTCTGCTACTATTTATCCATACCTTAAGAGCCTGATTATCATACCACACTCTCCTTAAGTGTGACTTTGCACACCAAGGAACTTTGGATGCCGTTGTAGAATAATAGATTATGATAAAGGAAAATGCAAATTTTCACACTGAAGATTCATAGACTCATTAAGTTTTGTTTTTAGTTGCATGTGTTACATACGTAAGTAGTCTGATTTTTCCCACTGGTTACATTTTGCTTTGCCTTGATTAGTATGAGTTTAAATCCTCATGGTGGCTCTGTGTCCATACAGTAGAGAGCATGTAGTGGCAATGTCCCTGTCCCTGGGCTGTGTTGTCCTTTAGCTGCTTGTACTCTCCCTGTTCTCGTCTGACTTTTTCTGTCCTTAGCATTCCTCTCGGGGAAACGGATCTACCTTCCTCGTGCACTGGTTTAATTCAGAAATAAACTTGAACAATCACAAAAGAAAGCAAACAACAAGTTCATAGTCTAAAGCACAGATTAGCTTCTTCTGTGTTATTTTTGTTTATAACAATTGAAAATGGTGATGACCTGTACTTGAATGTCTAATACTGATTTAAATTATGAGCAAAAAATTAGCTCTGGTTTTTAGTAATTAGTGCAACATTTATATCATTTAAATATGTTCTCCTAAGCTGTAATTAAGGAGCTCTGGTGGCACAGTGGTTAAGTGTTCAGCTGCTAACCGACAGGTTGATGTTTCCACCCTGCCCAGTCACTCCGCGGGAGAAAGATGTGGCAATCTGCTTCTGTAAAGATTTACAGCCTTGGAAATCCTATGGGGCAGTTCTGCAGTGTCCTACAAGGTCACTGTGAGTCAGAAGCGACTTGATAATACCTGACAACAAGCTATAATTACAAAAAATTATGTTATGGCTGTAGTCCTTAGACATGTGTTAGGGACATTACATCAAAAAATGCATAGGGCCACACTTTCAGAAATTATGAGGAAGTGGGAAAATGGAGGCATTTACAGGAGAAGTTGTAACTTTTTTTTTTGTCTAACCTGTCCGAACTTACCTACTTAAAAAAGATAAGCCAAGGTTTGTGAAAATAAATATATTATTGTCATTTTGGCATATAGCCTGATAGCTATCTACATATAGCTATATAGAAGGTATTCCTCTTCATCTTGTTCTCCAGACTGAGAAACCAAATAGATTCTAATTTTATTTTATTTTAATTTCTGCAGTTGGGCCAAAAAGAAGTTTGTATCCAAAATTTCTATTGGAACTCAGAAATCAAGTAGATTTTGATAATGAGAGAAACAGTATACCAAAATGTTAATAGTACTTATTACTGTTTATATTTGGTTTTTTTTGTTTGTTTGTTTACACTTTCCATGTTTTCCATGATTTGAAATGAACAGGCATAAGGAAAAAAGAAATGGCATTTTAAAAATGGATCAAAAATAATCAAACAGAAATGCACGAGACAATTAAATAAATCCATGAGTACTGAGCCACGCTTCCGTCAGCTCAGTGGATCTGAAGTAGGCACCTGTTATCATCCTATTCCCAGTGTGAAGGTTGGCACTGCTCCTGGGTGCAGTTTGGTGCAGACTTTGAAAAGATCTTCTCCATGAAGTCGTTTCTAAGATTGCTTGACAAGATGCTCAGAAGCCAAAATTACCACACAAGAGTAAGATCCTGTGGCCTTTCGTTAAGAATGTGAAATCTTCAGATTCCACAAGAGAGTTACACACGTGTGAAGTTAAGTCATTCAAACTGGCATTCAAGACCTGATTTAGTCCACAGTACAAGTTGGTTTTTGAGTATTAAGGATTCCCTTGGGGATCTAACAGTAACACATGCTGATGATGTAAGACACATTTTATAGTTCTCATTTCTGTGTTCTGAAAGAAATCTATCTAAATTTCTTGATTTCTAAAGAGGTACTTATTACTGTTTGCCAAGTAAGAATTGCTAAGTAAGAATTAATAGTTTGCTACTTTCCAAATGGAAATATTACCAATTCCTTGCCTTTCTGAATGTATTAAAATGAGGTTACTTCAGAGACTTATGACTAAAAGTAAACATTTCCAAAATTAAAATCAACAACCATAAAAATGGAAAAGGAGAAGCACTGTTTGTTGAAAGCACATTTGCATCGCACACTGTAGTCAGCCTTGGAGGTCACACCAGGCATACCAGTGCCGATTTTATACACCCTTCAGTGATAGAATCCCTGTCATTTACACACACAAATACTGTATTGGTAAGTCTTTAGATTAAGCAACTTATGTTTTTTTTCCTTAGAGATAACTTTTCATGATGGACAGTAGAGAACATTTTGTCCTTGTGGTGGAAACGGGGTGCAAGTGACCCCAGCTGTGTCAGAGGTTTGCTGCTAGCCTTAAAGGAGTTCTTATATCTCCATTTATGCATCTGTGAAAAGGACATAATAACAACCCTGTGAAAAATGAGCACTGATGTGCTGTACATACATGATTACAATCTACCTCTCCCTTGCAAACACTCTGCAACAATTTACACAAAGTCATTTCCTGCTGCTGACACAGGTTCATTTGATATTTCAACTTGAAATAAAGATAATTCAACTTGATATTTCATATTTGATAATTTAGATTTGATGTTTGATAACTCAGCTTCAAGTAAAGAATATGAAACTGTGTTAAATTATATTGTACTTCAGAATAAACAAGCTATATGCAGTTACATTTTTTCCAGCATTTTATTATGTACATTTTTAAACATACAAAATAATTGTTGAATGAATTTTACAGTGAACACCCATACACCCACCACCATGATTCTATCCTTAACATCTACTATTACTACATTTTGAGAGAAAATATTACTATAGTGCTAATGGCTCACAGCTGTAAATTTCCAGGTTAACACAATCACAAGTTAGGAAAAAGTATGTGCATTTTTTATGGGATATAGTTTGTCTGCATTGCAAAATTTTAAAAAAATATGTTCATTTTCTTAAATGTTTACCTGACCCTCTACCACCTGTTCCCATGCCCGCCTTCCTCTATATATGCTGACGCAAGAGAAGAACACCCCTAAGTGTTCATACAAGCACATTGGAGCATGCATATCTGACTTGAGCAGATTCCCATAGTTAGCACTGACCAGTGGTGGCTGACAACTGCGAAAGAGAGAACCTCGTCTCTGGATGCCTTGATTCATTCGACATATACGTTATTGAGCACCTACTATGTGCCCGTTACAGTGCTGGGCACTGGGTCACTGTTATAGCTGCTATACATTGTAGTCTTTTATGCTGCGCCCAAGCCCAAAGAAGTCTGAAAAATGCTAGATTGTTTAGAGTTAAGCAGGTTTCTTTGTCGCAGGACTTCACCCAAAACTTATGATATGTGGATGTACACTATGTCCTGCTAAGATTGATATAGTGTTTCCCAAACTTGTTTGACCTTGAAAATAACTATTAGCATCTAGGAGTACAGAGTTGAGAGATGGTGTTGTGTGTTTAAATAACAGTTAAAGTAACTCAGTTTGGTTAACAAGGTCCCACTGTGATCCTACTTTGATAAAAATAGCTGGAATTCAACTATAGCTAGCGAATATTGGGAGATAAGCTAATTGGTAGAGTCTGGGCCAGAAGCAACTTGTGCTTAAGCTTTCACCACTCACAAGAGAATCACTTTGCTCTTGGGAAATGCGAGTCATTGAGTGATCTAATCCGAGCTCCCCTGGTAGTGGGCAAAAAGCCATTTACAGTACGACTGGAGGTTTTAGTCAACAGCTGACCTTACAGGTGCTCCTGGGGAGTTCTTCTGGTCCAAAGGCAAGTCCGGGGCACGTTCAAGTTGTTAGGGGAGGATTTTTTTTTTTTTTTTTT